AAAACCTGAAAGTGATTGAGGCTGTCCATGATGGAGAGTCTTTGAAGGGAGTTTCAAGGCCAAGTGGTTGGAAGTAAAGAATCATAATTCCTTCAGATGTTTAAATGTTGTAAAACCATATCTTCTTATTTTCTGTTTTTTTGTTTGTGGACTGAACTGGGTAAAGAAGTGTTTAAAAACCAAATACAGTGAAAAGGATTGTTGCACTTTTTAAAAGCTGGTTACCAACAATCATTGTAAGCACTTTTTACACTAGTATTTGCTCAAACAGTGAGCAAGGGTTGGTGCAGGTGGGGTGGAACTAAGGAGTGTGAGATTCAGCCTGTAACAAGTAGCTGTTGGTCAGGGGGGTGGTGAACTAGTTGCTAATGACAAAAAGCTTTCTGTCTGCCAACAACGACACTGTAATTCATTCCCAGGTAATTGCACAGCTTATGGATGTGAATGTTTGGTCAGAAGCCATTGGACCTCAGGAAAGGGAGTTATTGCCTTTTGCTCTGAAATAAATACGCTACAAGCCTGGAGAAAGCATGTTTATTTTCCCTCATCAGTTGCTGTAGACTATGCTTATTAACCCATACGTCAGAAACTTTATAACTGTGAACCAGTCACCCTGTGACTTCAGCAAACAAGTGAAAGTATCTGGAGAAGGATAACCAATGAGAAACATGACCTGACAAGCCAAAAGGATCATCTCAATGATCTCTGTGCATAGGAACATTGAAATACCTTCCCGATCCTTTCCTCTGCCCATGATATTTGTGTTTTTTTTTGGATCTGTCTGTATGTGCTTGTCAGAGAAATCTGTCAGGGGCTCACATTTTAACTAATAGATTTATATGTCAATGGTTCATGTTGTTTATCTGTACCTAAAATCAATTTATTTGTAATTAATTATAATTGTTGTTGAGCACAGAAATCTATTCCATGCTTTCTGTCAACCTAAGTCTATAAGATAGGTAAATTGTAGAATTTTGTATACTTTTCTAGAATCTTTAACTTCTGTGACAACTTCATGAAGAAGAGACACTGAACTTGAAATGTTAACTCTGTTTCTCTGTCCACAGCTGTCACCAGACCTCCTGGGTTTCTCCAGCATTTTCTGTGTTTGTTTCATATATGGATACTCTCTATTTTCTGCCAGACAACCAATCTTCAATCCATGCTAATATATTTTTTCCTGTAAACCTTTGATATGGTAACTTATCAAATGATTTCTGGAAATCCAAGGGTAATACATTTATGTGTTCCCCTTTATCCATAGTTACTCTTGTTACTGCTTCAAAGAATTCCTAAATGTTATTTTAAACGTGACTTCACTTTGATAGAACCATGCTGATTCTACCCAATTACCTTGCATTTTTCAAAGTATGCAACTCTTTAACAATTGATTAGAGTCATTCAGTCATACAGCATAGAAATGGACCCTTCGTCCATGCTGACCAAGTTTCTCAAACTAAATTAGTCCCACTTGTCTGCATTTGGCCCATATCCCTATAAACCTTTCCTATTCATGTACCTGTCCAAATGTCTTTCAAATGTTGTAACTGCACCTACACTTACCACTTCCTCTGACTGTTCATTTCACATATAAATCATCCTCTGTGTGAAAAAGGTGCCCCTTTGGGTCCTTTTAAATCTTTCTCCTCACAATTAGAAATATCCCCTCTAGTTTTGAACTCCCCAACCCTAGGGAAAAGACCTTTGCTATTCACCTTATCCATGCCCCTCATGATTTTATAAACTTCCATACAGTCACCCCTCAACCTCCTACACTCCAGAGAAAAAAGTCCCAGCTTATCCAGCCTCTCTTTGTAACTCATATCCTCCATTCCTAGCAACATCCTTCTAAATCTCTTCTCAACCCTCACCAATATAATAGCATCCTTCCTAAAGCAAGCTAACCAGTATTGTTGAGAGTACTCCAAAAGTGTCCTCAATAAAGTCCCTGTACAACACCTTCTCCACAACATACATAAAGCTAATTGGCCAGTAATTTCCAGTTTCTGTCTCCCTCCCTTCTTGAATTGAGAGATCATATTGTCTGTTCTCCAATCCAATTGAACCTTTCCTGAATCTAGAGAATTTTGGAAAATTAACACCAACACATCTACCACCTCATTAGTGACCTCTTTTGACACCCTAACTGCAATCTGAGTGGAAGAGTCATTGTGGCTTTTATCAGGTGAAGACAAAAACCAGGAGGAACAGGAATTATTATCTGAATGCTGCAAGGAGAATCTAGGACCCAATTAATAATGCAAATTGGGCTCTGACTGGGACAGTGGGAATGTGAGTGGAATAAACCCAAAAGAAAATTTAGCGAATTGAAAAATCTGATTTTAACCTGATTGCCAATTAATATTTTTCCATTGCTATTTACTGTTTCCGGCTGCAACAGTGGACATGAAACACACCGATATGACACTTCCTCTAATCTGTTACTTTCAAGAACATTGGAAGAATGCCTGTCAAGGCTTACCCAATGGAGCTTGAAGCACTGCTCTCAATCAAGTCCATGCAGGGCATGGTCAGGATCACACAGGAGATAACATTTCTGAACCCTTACAATACATTATCAATCTTCAAGCAGCTCTCCAGTTCAGCTATCCAGAAAGAACATTAAAACACCACACCTTCTTCCACTTTCCAGTTTCTGTAAGCTACTCAGAGCTTCTACTTTATGTGTTGATTGATGTTTGTGCAATGAATTCCTGGCATCATTGTTAAATTTGCCTGTCACTGGATTGGCCATGGGTCCGATTATCCTACTTCAAGATGTTAATTTGAAGTAGCGATTGTTTGTTTTATATGGAATGTCTTCCTGGCTGGAGAGCAGTCAAGGTTATTCTTCCAGGACAGGCCTATCAAACTCATGAATCAAACAGGCAGGGGCAAGACCACCATCAGGCCTTCCCAAGGAGTCAAGACTCCAGTGTTCAAAGACTTGTGGCTGGCCAATCAGATTTTGGCAGCTCATACGCTCAGCAATGCCACCAAAGAAGTTGTTGCTGCTTCCACAAGGGTCCAAGGATTGTGGATGACCGAGGGGAATTTATTATGTATTATTTCCTATTTGGTGGCATTTTCTATTGGCAAGTTTATCCTGTTTGAATTTTGTGAGACCAAATATTTGGAAAGAGCTGCTCACCTGCTCCCACCTATAACTCCGAATGATATTAGTATGCAAATTCATAACAGATGTCGTTTTAAATTTTGCACTTTGGAATGGCAGCTAGTTGATCTCAGAAAGTGAGGCACAGGTATGCAGTTAGTTAAGGGACACTGAAGTGCAAATGACTAGTTCACTATTGATTGGTAACTTGCATGGCTATAGGACCAAACTACGTTGGTTTTGTCTCTGCACTAATAATCTTTCACTGTAAGTTAGCTTATGAATGGACAAACTTTTCTTCCAGTCATACTGTCCAATTTACTATCATGTAATCATTAGCGCAACTCTGTAACTGTGTAATGGCCTGGGAGTGAAAGGTGCTGTATAATATCAGTCAAGTACATATGCACCGTCCCTCTGCAGAACAACTGGGACACAGCAGGACTGTCACTGGAACAGAAGTGAGGGCACGTGATCCAGTTTATGTACAGGGGCTCAATTCCCCTGCAGGACGGTGAGCTAGAGGTAGAGTTAATCCACCAGACGGCCATAGAGTGGGATAAATAAAGACTGGAGGCTACCATCCTCTGCGATCAAAAATTGTCAATCTGGCTATAGGGTTAGGTTTTTAAGACCTATGTGCACTTATCACTGCTGTACAGGTTAAAGACCAGGTTCTTGAAGAAAATGGAAGGGACATGTGGCAGAAGTATAGATGTGGTGACTGATTTACCATGTCACAGGAAGAGACAGGCCTGAAATGTCACGTCTTGGAGAAAATCCTTGGGAAGGAGTAAAGCATTCAAGAAGCTCAGGGCAGGAGACTGAGAGGATCAAAAACAAAACAAAGTTGCTGGAAAAGCTCAGCAGGTCTGGCAGCATCTGTGGAGGAGAAAACAGAGTTAACGTTTCGGGTCCGGTGACCCTGTTAATGTTTCGGGTCCGGTGACCCTTCCTCAGAACTCAGTTCTGAGGAAGGATCACCGGA